CAATACAATATGATTCCAGTTGTTGTTTCAAAGTCAGTATTCGATATCAGACCTTTTAGCAAGAAAAGTGTAACAGTCGGATTGATGGTTAATAAAATTATTTCTGTTATTATAATACTACAATGTAATTTTACTAAAAAAATGATAAGTCTGGATTTACAACAGTGGTATACACTAATGTGCGATACCAATTATATATAGTTCAATAACTAATAATCTACATACTAATTGTAAACGTATAAAATTAACTGATAACATATATTATTCAGTTAATTTAAATCAGTTTACTATTAAATTTATTGTTAATGATAATTTTATCACCTTATCATATACCGACCTTCACCGATTAAAACAATTACAACAATGTGTCGATTCGCATATTGTTGAAAAGCAGAACAAGTTGGTTTCATATCAATCAACTTTCGATACAGTGTATTCATTAATTAAAGCAGACATCAGTATTCTACCATCATCTTGTCAATGAAGTGACTTTACAAACCAATATATTCAACATTTTGATTTTAACGTTTATAGTATACAGAACGATGATTGTTGTTTTATGTATGAAATACTTCAATTCTACAATAATTCATTATCAGATATAATTTTAAAGGAATTAATGACATAAAATAAATTTAGTGTAGTTTTTTTTTTTTACTCTTTGAACTTTATATCATTAATACTTACCGTAGAATTTGTATCAATATTATTGTAAAAAAAAAAAAAAAACAAACAGGATTAATTAATTGTTATTATATCTTTATTACATGATCATTAAAATATAAATATAAACAATTTATCATTATTTTATATAAACCTCAATTATTAATAGTTAATGTGATGATTTATATATTTAATAAATTATTTTTACAATTAAATTATTTGGTATTTTATTTTATTTTATTATTTTTAATTAATTTTCGTTTCGGATCTGATGAAAATCGATCCAATATATCCCGTACAACGTCATTTATTTTGATCGCAATATTTGTATCTTTTGAATCCCGATTCGTAGTGTACAATTTTATACTGGCCTCCGCATGTTTCCATCTAGTATAAAAAAATTATTTAATATTCATAATAATATTATGTTTATTTATTTAATCATGTTATAGTCAAATATCAACAATTCAATCCTTGAGCTCATTATTTTAATTAGAAATTTCATTCACTCGTGATGCATAATGTTAGGTGTAGGTTAATTTCTAATAATGAATCTGTCAGGTAATACATTTCTGCATTGATGATATTTAACTATGTATTATATATTTAATCTTTTTTTTTTTTTACTAACCTTTCAGCTGACGGAATATCTTCAATCGTTTTGACTTTGTAGTGTTGAATAACCCAGTAGTCCTCACACTTTGGTGCAATAGGACACTGGAAAGTAAATGAATTATTTCCCTCCATCATTGTTAAAGAATTGCTTGCGTTATTTTCAAAACTTCCTTTCGAAATTAATTCAGCAAAAATATCCTTATATGATTCTGTGTGCTAATATATAGAATAAAGTTACATTTCAATTTATACTTAAAAAGTGTGTGTGTGTGTGTGTGTGTGTGTGTGTGTGTGTAATATTGAAGAAATAATATAATATTAATTATTACCTTTCCTGCGGTCTTTGTCTTTTTGATATTGGCTTTTGGTTCTAAATCATTTTTTCTTTTATTACTGCTTGCTTTGGCAGGTTTTGCGATAGATATACTTTCAGTTTCATGCTATTATTTAATAAAATTACAATACTATTAATATAATAATTATCAAATTATGATTTGTATTACACACACACACACACACACACATACATATTATACTGCACTACTGTACAAACATACTTACATCTTCGTTTGAAGAGCTTTCGGCAGATGCATTTGTATAGTAAGACATAGTGTTTTTTATAACTTAAATAAAAAAAATCTTAAAGATGTTAGATTTTAATGTATCAGATTTTTTTTTAAAAAAATAATTACCTGATCAAATGTATTTCTACGGTGTGAAGCGACAACACACACACACAGTACTGGTGCATACAATGTAGAGATTTAACACTATAGTTGGGGCACCGAGAGAACGCTACTGGGCGGCGACCAAAATACGTCCGTTTTCGCGCATTCCCACCACTAAATCTAGCCGAATGCTGGCCGCCGTTAATGCGCGCCGCCGCCACCGACGCCGCCTGCTACCGCCTACCACCACCGCTGCCGTCGTTCTGGTCACGTGTTATTATAGTGGTGGTGTTGTATACAGCGTGTTCTATAGCGATTTCCCGTATCTCACGTTTTGTCATACATACAATATTCATCAACTTTTTTTCTTCGCGTTTTTTTAGCATACCATTGCTTATAACTTATAAGTATTTTTAGTATTGTTTATCTTACTATCTTAGAGTACTTAATACACCATGGATCTCGTCGATATATCACCTTCCAAAAAAAATCCTCGTGGAAAAGTAAGTATTATTATTATTTTGTATTATTATTTTTCTATAGTAAATTCTTAATTTATTAATTTTATTAATTTATTATCCTTTAGTTTGTTGGTACTGGTCAAAAGCAAATAATCATTAATCTATACAAAGAGAAGATCAAACAACAACAAGAAAACCCAGACAGCCCCCAATTGACCTACAGACAAATGCTTTTAGCAATCTCTAAATCAAGCGGTATTGGGCAACGGACGGTACAAACGACATTGGCTGAATATAAAACAAAAGGTAGAGTTTCATCACCTAATAAAAAAAAAATTAGACCTACAATACTTGAAAAAGTAGATAGTTTTGACAAACAAGCTATCAGACGGAAAATACATAGCTTTTGGTTGAACCGTGAAGTTCCTACTATAGCAAAAATGTTGGTAGCTATTAATGAAGATGAAACTTTACCAAACCTCAAACGTTCTTCATTTCGTAAAATATTAAAAGATTTGCATTTTGTTTACGCGAAAAAATCCCGCAATAGTGCGCTTATCGAAAGAGAGGACATAATTATTTGGCGTGGTAAATATTTAGATCAAATAAGAAAATACAGATCACAAAACAGACCAATATACTACCTTGACGAGACGTGGGTAAACGCAGGTGAAACCCATAGCAAAGCATGGCACGACAGTACGGTCAATTCACCGCGTGAAGCATTCCTCACAGGGCTCACAATGGGACAAAAGGAACCCTCGGGAAAAGGCAAGAGACTCATTGTGTTACACATAGGATCAACTGACGGTTTCGTACCGGGTGGCCTTTTATGTTTTGAGTCAAAAACCAACTCATCGGACTATCATGATGAAATGAATGGCAGTACTTTCTTTGAATGGTTTGCAAAAATTCTGCCGTTACTTAAAGAAAATGCTGTCATAGTGATGGACAACGCCGCCTATCATTCTGTGAAAAAAGATCGTATTCCAGTGATGTCATGGAAAAAGCAGGAAATAATAAATTGGCTGGAAAGTAAGGGCGAGAACATTACTTATCCAACAACAAAAGGGGCATTATTGTCTCAAGTCAGAACAATACATACGGATGACCATGAGAAATACGTTATTGATGAGTATGCGAAAGATAACAATAAAACAATATTAAGATTGCCCCCGTACCACTGTGAGTTGAATCCTATTGAACTAGCATGGTCGTCTGTTAAGAGGTATGTCCGTACTCACAATACTACCTTTAAATTAAAAGATGTACAAGAATTGTTGAAAAGAGGCGTGGAACTAGTAACACCGGAAATGTGGACGAATTTCGTTGAACACGTCATCAAGGAGGAAGACAAATTTTGGAAAATCGACAACATAACAGACGATTTTATGGACGAAGAACCTGAAGAAGGAGCACGTCATATCCTAACAATAGGTGATACAAGTTCGGATTCTGACTCGGATTAATTTCTTTGTATTTGAATTATTTTATTTCTTAGTATTATTTTTTTCCGGCGTAGGGAAAGTGGCGCGCCCATCGCCCAGTGCACTCGTAAGTACACTGCAATAGCCCTACCATGACCTTGAGTGGTTGTGGTAGTCTGGTCCTCCAGGTTGGGGGTTATGCGCAGGGCCAACAACCCTGCCATGTGAAATCAACCTTGTTCCGGATACAACATTAAACTTGCCTCGGATATGTGGAGCTTTGGAGAACACGACTGGAAAACGGAAACCTGGCTTATCTTTCGGAACTTGGAACATTCGCACACTTTTCAAACCGGGAGCAGCACAATGCTTAGTCAAAGAAATCAGGAGATATAATTTAGGAGTGGTAGCCTTGCAGGAGATTAGGTGGAATGACAAGGGTACCTTGGATCTTCAAGACACGACTATATTCTACGGGGAATGTAATGTTCGAAGACAATTTGGAACGGGTTTTGCTGTACACAAAAGTATAGTTCCTTTGGTAACAGAATTTTAAAGTACTAACCCTAGGATATCAATATTGACGATTAAAGGGAAATTTTTTGATATCACTTTCCTGAATGGACACGCACCTACGGAGGAAAAAACACCAGAGGAAAAGGATGAATTTTATGAGAATCTGGAACAAACCCTAAATGAAATACCCCGAAATAGAATAAGGATAGTCTTAGGCGATTTTAATGCCAAATTGGGAAAGGAAAACATATTCAGATCAACCATTGGTAACCATAGCATGCATGACATAACTAGTGAAAACGGACTTAGACTTATCGACTTTGCGAGTGGTGGAGGACTTGTTGTGAAAAGCACAATGTTCCCACGCAAAGATATTTACAAGGGGACTTGGAAAGCGCCTAATGGTAGATACACTAATCAAATAGACCATGTTATGATTAACACAAGGTTTAAAAACTGTATACAGGAGGTGAAAACAGTCAGAGGAGCCGACTGTGATTCGGACCACTACCTGGTAAAAGGAAAACTAAATGTGAAACTAAAAAAATTGGGAATTAGGAAAGGTACAATGGTGGACAGATATGAAGTAAGTAAATTTAAGGACAAAACTGTATGTGACCTTTTCAAACAACGGACGAATGAAGCAATGTCTAACCTACACATAAATCAATTAGATACGATTGACAGCAAATGGAAGGCAATAAAGGAAACCTTAAAAGTGGTTACAGATACGACCATTGGGAAACAAAAAAAAGTAAAGAAACCTTGGTTCAACACTTCTTGTGAAGAGGCACTTAACAGAAGGAAAGAAGCTAGACTACTATGGATTAATGACCCCACCAATAGAGAAAAAGAATCTACGTATAAAGAACGCCAAAAAGAGGCGAGTAATATTTTTAGATTTGAAAAACGTAAATACACGAAAGATATATTGTGGGAAGCCGAGACCAACCATAGAGTTAACAAAACTCGTGAGCTGTATCAGAAGATTAATGCAATTAGGGGTGGGTACAAAAAACATGAAAGATTCTTAAAAAATGAGGATGGCTCCATAATTACGGAACAAGACAAGATTATAGAAAAGTGGAGAGAGTATTTTGACCAACTGCTTAACTGTGAGGACCCTCCTGAAACTTTCACATGGATATCATCTGACCCTAACGACAGTGAATGCCCTCCTCCTAGTAGGATAGAGGTAGTAATTCAATTAAATAGATTAAAAAACAATAAAACACCGGGAGAAGATGGAATTCAGGGAGAAATTCTAAAAAATCTGGATGAGGTAGCAATAAATAGAATACATGATATCATCGAAAATTTATGGTCTGAGGAGCAACTACCCAAAGACTGGGGTACAGCGTTGATCTGCCCGATTTTTAAAAAAGGAGACCCGCAAAAATGCAGTAACTACAGAGGTATTGCTTTATTAGATACGGCATATAAAGTCTTATCATATTGTCTACTTGATAGAGTGGTACCCAAGGCCGAAAATATAATAGGTGACTACCAGGGTGGGTTTAGGACCAATAGATCCACAACTGACCAAATGTTCATACTAAGACAAATCATCCAAAAACATTTGGAATTTGACAAGGAGGTACACGTGTTATTTGTGGATTTCAGAAAAGCTTATGACTCTATACATAGAGAAAGCCTATTAAACATTCTCAAAGATTTCAAATTCCCCAGGAAAATTATTAATCTCATTGGAGTCAGTCTCAATCATACAGATATACAGGTCAAGATAGGTAACGTAACATCGCAGCCAACTAGAGTAACGACAGGACTTAGGCAAGGGGATGCTTTGTCTCCAGTGCTGTTTAATTTAGTACTGGAGAGGGTAATACGTGAGATGAACATTTCGGAAGGAGTTATATTAGGACAGATCAGAATTGGAATGCTAGCATATGCGGATGATATCGCTCTCCTTGGTGAAGATTTAGACATGATAAAGAAATTGGGAAGTAATCTAATAAATACGGCAAAAAAAGTGGGCCTAACCGTTAATGAGGAAAAAACAGAGTACCTGGTGGCTAGCCGAAGAAATAGAAATGGCGGTCTGGAACAATATATCAAAATTGAAGAACTCAAGTTCAAAAGAGTGTCTCAATTTAAGTATCTAGGGTCGATGATAACGGAGGATAACGACATCAAGACAGAGGTGTCAACAAGGATACAACTAGCGAATAGAGGATATTATGGACTTGAAAAAGTCTTGAAATCGAAGGCCCTATCTAAAGCCCTAAAAATCAAAATGTACATGACTCTACTAAGACCAATTGTTCTTTACGGCTCAGAAACCTGGGCGCTGAGAAAAACAGAAGAATCAAGATTAATGATATTCGAGAGAAAAGTCCTACGGAAAATTTTTGGCCCCATATACGATAGACAAACGAGTGAATGGAGAAAACTTCATAACGTGGAACTCCAAGGACTTTTCCAGAGGCCGAATATAGTTAGAGAGATCACCAAGCGGAAACTAAGTTGGGCAGGACATGCTTGGCGCAAACAGGGTACTTTAGTAAAATGGGTGATCGAAGAAGAGCCTAAT